AGCAGGTCTACTAGCCCATGCTAGGCAGGTCCAACCCACACCTACAAATATACTAATCCAACTTACATTTAACGCTACCCAAAGTTCTTGCATCTATGACGCTACATCCCCTCAAGGGAGGTTCCTCAGCGTTGGTGAGGGGCTCTTAATCTAGGGAATTGTATCTGTGCTCCGGTTCCCTGAATTGAGCCTGAATACCTTCCACCCCCACATGCGCTACAGTTCTACGGGTTTACAGCTCCATGAAAATAATAATAATAATAATAATAATAATAATAATAATAATAATAATACCTGAGAGTTCGTTCCACTATTCTACAATTTTACTGTCAAACCAGTACTTCCCTACATCCCTTTTAAATCTAAATTTATCCAGTTTTGAATCCAATGCTGCGAGTGCTGTCTTATATATCTTCAATGGGCTATTTATATCCTCTTTATTTACGGTAAGTAAGACATGTGCAACAGTTAGGTATCTTCGCCTACACAGTAAGCTTCAGTCGAGTACAGAAAAGTTGGTAGAAGCAGAAGAAATGTGAAGACGATGTAATCATTCCATCACCCTTGAAAACGTAGTTTTGATGTGGTCAGTCCCTCAGCCGGGAGAAGATTATTTGTTCCAGTCTGAAACAATGTGAAGTTGAAATGACAGTATGGTGCCTTATATACTGTCAGGAGGTGAGATGTAGTCCACTAGCAGAAGAATGTAATTATTGAGAGGTCACGTCCTACTCAAGGGTGATGGACTGACTGAATCGTCTTCACATCTCTACTGCTTCTACCAACTTTTCTGTACTCGACTGAAGAAGCCTACTGTGTAGGCGAAACGTTTCGGAATAAAGGTACTTAATTGTTGCATATGTGTCGATATTTTATATCATTTTGATATTCACCCTTTATTTATGTTTTTCATTTGTACTCTTCAATCAAATTCTTTCCCTAATTCTACGCCTTTTCCTGAGTACAAGCTCAGTGCCTTCAGCTTGTCTTCGTAGAAAAAATTTTAATACAAAACAAATATTTGAAGAATGAGGCACTTGTGCAACATTTGGGAATATTTATTGAAGAAAAATTTCGCCAGCTAGTGGTTTCTTCAGTCCAATATAAAGAACGGTGGAAGATGAGGAGTATGAGGTATTTAGTCCCTCAGCCTGAAGTTTCATTCTTCAACTTGTCGGTTGTCTAAACAATTGACAATAATACGTATTTGTTTGCATGTGTAACTGCAATAATGACAGTCGGGCAGAAGAATACGCTTATAGTAACTCTTACGAAGCTTTGCAAATTGTTCTGAAATCAACGAATTGTAATGAGTGCGTTTTCGCAAGCATTACAGTTCGCTGATTTCTCTGAGCTAAGCCTCTACAAAAAAATGGCATTTGTTAGTCTAGAATAACATTTATTAGTGTATATTTGTGTCTTGCTAACCGACAATAAGAAAATAAACGGAGGACTAACGTCTGGAAGCCAAAGATATAACATATTACTCAAGATTGATGGACTGAACACATCGACTCCAGGCTGATGGACTGATTACCTCAAACTACTCAACTTTCACCGTTCTTCTTTGTATTGGACTGAAGAAGCCACTGGCTGGCGAAAAGTTTCCACAACAAAGATTTCCAAATGTTGCACAACTTTCATTTTCTTCAATTTGTCAGTTTTCTAAAGTATTTATATCACATAACTTTCTTAGGGGCGTTTATATCCATACGCTGGTCATGTCCCTAGCACTCGCCTATGTCATGTCTATTTATGCTTAATAAAATATATTTAAGAAGTTAATAACCAAAAACGGCCACTGGGGGGGTGGGTATGAAGCTTCACTTGAAGTGTACCTCGAGGGGTGTTCCGGGGGTCAACGCCCCCGCGGCTCAGACCTTAACCAGGCCTCCCGGTGGATCAGGGCCTAATTAATTAAGCTGTACTGAACGTAGTCCAGCGTACGAACCACAGCCCGGCTGATCGGGTACTTTACGTATCTGTCCAGCTCCCTCTTGAAGGCAGCCAGGGGTTTATTAGTAATTACGATAGAAAGATCTGAATTATGAAAAAAAATGGCGACTGATCAGAAAGAACAAGATTTTGAACTTCTAGTCTAATAGATGATTGACTCAGTGAAATCTCTAATCACAATTTCTAATTAGTTCGTGACTGTTGGCAACCTCGTCAAACAACGAAGTCTGCCTTGATGTTGATTGATTATACTGCCACATACTGGTCTTGATAATATGAAACATATTCAAAGACGAACTGCCGAGACGGTTCCGCCTCACTAGACGTACCCGCCCCGCTAGACGCACCCGCCCCACTAGATGCATCCCCCACTACTCATCCCACTACGCACCCAACAACAGATGTAAATAAAAAATAAACACTGCCAAATAAATATCTGTTTTCACTGGAATACCTGGAATTAATAAAGAGGAGAAAGAAAATAAAAGGCATTTCAGGAGCGAGCAATAATGGCAGTGAGTCAAGTACCAGGAAGCGAAGGGAAGCCAGATGTTACCATGGAAACCTGAAGTGATTCTTCATTCCTGGTAAAAGTAATAGTAGTGTGTGTGTGTGTGTGTGTGTGTGTGTGTGTGTGTGTGTGTGTGTGTGTGTGTGTGTGTGTGTGTGTGTGTGTGTGTGTGTGTGTGTATGTGTGTGTGTGTGTGTGTGTGTGTGTGTGTGTGTGTGTGTGTGTGTGTGTGTGTGTGTATACACGAGAGAATCTGTGTATATGTATGTGCGCGCGCACACAAAACGCCACAATAAACAAGAAAGCCAGACACACCAACACCACGGTAAACAAGAGACGGGCACACCAACACTACAGTAAACAAGAGCCAGACACACTAGCACCACAGTAAACAAGAGCCAGACACACTAGCACCACAGTAAACACGAGCCAGGCACACAACACTACAGTAAACAAGAGCCAGACACACCAGCACCACAGTAAACAAGAGCCAGACACACCAACACTACAGTAAACAAGAGATAGGCACACCAACACCACAGTAAACAAGAGCCAGACACAACACCACAGTAAACAAGCCAGACACTCCAGCACCACAGTAAACAAGAGACGGGCACACCAACACTACAGTAAACAAGAGCCAGACACACTAGCACCACAGTAAACAAGAGCCAGACACACTAGCACCACAGTAAACAAGAGCCAGACACACTAGCACCACAGTAAACAAGAGCCAGACAACACCACAGTAAACAAGCCAAACACTCCAGCACCACAGTAAACAAGAGGCAGACACTCCAGCCCCACAGTAAACAGGAACCAGACAAACCAGCATCAAAGTAAACAAAAGTGCCAGACATACCAGCATCACAGTAAATAAGAGAACCAGATATACCAACTTCACAGTAAACAAGAGAGCCAGACACCAGCACCACAGTAAACAAGAGAGCCAGACACTACAGAATATCAATACAACACTGCAGGTCTAGGCTGGGCCACTACCCTCAGTGTGCACGGAGGCGCACAAGGACCTCAGATGGAAGCGCTTGCATAGGACAACTTACCCAAGAATTGGAAATAATACTTGGCGTTTCGGTCCATCGTGAGGCCATTACCTAAATTGATGACGGTCCAAGGAGGACTGAAGCTGCTTCTAGTTCTGTCTCCAATTCGTGTATCTCTTTACATACCTGCATAATAAATTATGAAAAATCATCCCCACGGTTTGAAGTACATACCAAACCTTGTGTCTGTGCTCATCAAATAATTCTTTGTGTGGAAAAGTCACTTATGTACAGTTCAGGACATTCATAATTTATAAATATTCTGACCTATACATAATCGTCTTTTTCCACATCTTGTCAGTATCAACAAAACCTTTTTTCAATTGTTTTATTGTCAGATATTAGATTGTTACGATTTTTTACAAAAAATGCCTTTAATCGTTTTTTATAGATAAGCATGTATTGTTGGCTGCCTAAAACAATAACTGCTAAAATAATCATGGGTCCGTAACGAGGCTACACGTCACACAAAAAATGAAGGACAACTCAAACAGGCCTACTGGCTCATGCTAGACAGTTTTAACTCACACCCAACCAAACCAACTCATATTTAAAGCCACCCAAAGTTCCTGCCTCAATGACCGAGTCAGATCACATTAGCAAACGCATGCATGAGCCTTGAACACACACCGGCCATCAACAATGATTATTATGCCATGAGCAAAGAGTTGCTCCTGCAAAATAAGAAATTAAACGACGCCTGGGCTATAATAAGTCCAAGGGACGTGCTGCCATCTACCTCATGTGGGGAGAATTACACCATATTACGGCCGACTTGTTAAAATAAAAAAAATATATATAGTGTGTGTGTGTGTGTGTATTACACACGCGCATGCACGCACACACCTAGTAGTGACTAGCGAAGAGGCAGGGCCAGGAGCTATGACTCGACCCCAATGTAAATAAATCACTGTCTTTTTTTTAGTTGTTCTAGGTTATCTGCACATATGCTGCTATACATGATAATCTATGTAACTGTATTTGTGTATATCTGAATAAACTTACCTCTGCAACCATATATGGGTAAGTACGTACACTCACCCACAAAATATATATCAGGCCAAGGCCAAGTGTTTATCAACAAGTGCCTCTGACATCCAGTAACTACTATTACACACACACAAGCAATGACTCGATCCCTGCAACCATATATAGGTGAGTAAAGGTTAGTACACATACCCACCAAACAGGCCAAGTGTTATCTATCAGCAAGTATCTTAGACAAAATAGTACTTAACACAAACAAAAAATATATATATATATATATAGAGACAGCTTCGTAGTCATATGGACACCTTTAGTAATACTGTTAGTGGCATGTGCGAGGAAAAGGTAATATGTATTATTATTATATTCATGGGGAAGTACTAAATCCAAAAGGTAATCAAACTTATTCCGAGGAAGAGGAGGATACCTCCAATACCTCTGAAGGTCAGGTGACGTTGAGTACGAGTTAGTGTGTTACTCACCAGGATGATGCAGTTGGCAGCCACTATGACCCAGCCCCACCCTCCGTCAGGAGGAGCCAACATCTCACACCTCTGGGGGTGACTGCTGCAGGCTTTAGTGCTTCCTCCGTCATCTTTCTTGCTACCACCGACCTCGTCACTCGTCTCCACCCAGCCTCCACCTGCCGGAGGTCACTACTTGTAAGTAATGCTGCTCTCAAGCACCATTACCACCATTACCACCACCACCACCACAACCATTACCACCACCATAACAATTACTACTGGGCTGACTGACATGTCTGACACAGAAAGTAAGAGAACCGTTAGGTAATTCAACACTTCCAATAAACAATACACTGCATTTCTCTCTTTCCATCGTGTCGGAATTTTACACCATTTATCTGAACTTCTAATCAACAGAGAGTTACATAATGATAAGTTTGCTACTTGGAATACTGACTTCCTAGAATACTGCGACTAACGTAATATCAAGCTACAGAAATCATCACACGGCATGCAAAACATTGTCAAATATCATTATAAATTAACTACATTCGTGAATATGACAATGGTATACAATACCGAAACGTTGATAAGGCATATACAACAGTCAGGTATCTTTATTTCGAAATCTCTCGCCTACACAGTAGGCTTCTTCAGTCAAGTGCAGATGGGTTTGCAGAAGCAGTAGGAATGAGATGTAATCAGTCCATCACTTGAAGTAGTTTTGAAGTAGTTTTGAGGCGGTCAGTCCCTGAGCCTGGAGAAGAGTTTTGTCCCATAGTCTGGAGGATTGGTCCCAAACCTGCACACCAAAATCACTACGTATGAACCCAAGAGGCTTGGAAGACTGTGCAGGATTCTCCGGTGAGAAGCAGGGACGTGATGAGTATACAGAGAGAACCTGATCAGTGTAAAGGGACCATGATCCTTGAACCTCCTTTTATGCACAAGGGACGTTACCAATAAATTCCTAGCTGTCTTCAAGAGTTTACTCGACAAATTCCTCAAAAGTGTTCCTGATCATCCGGATTGTGGTGCCAACGTTGAACTAAGGGTAGTAGCCACTGACAACTTAATTGATCAGGCCAGCAACCAGGAGTCCTGGTCTGGGACCGGGCCGCGGGGGCGGTGACCTCCGAAAGCGACTATAGGTAACCGACAAGTAACAAGTAACCTGCACCAGATACAATAACCTTACTTCCTACCCTCCCCCAACCCTGTCACTCTTCCAGCTACACCCGATACAATAACTGTACTTCCCCTCCTGAGAGAAGCGGCAACGTTAATATTGACACAGTATCGGCACCTGTGTGCCCCTCACCTGACAATTTTCAGACTCTACACGCAGTGCTCACTGCTTCAATATGAAAAATCTACACACGATCAACACTTGGGTATCTATTTTGAAGACGTCTCGTCATCCAGTGGCCTTTTTTTCAGATTCAATAGAGAATATATAAACTGGAGACAGTAGAAGAAGAGGTAATAGTCTCTCAGCTTTGACGGAAGGTGTTTAGTCTAGTAGCTTGGATCAATGTGAAGTACTTGAGCCAGATGAGAGATGTAAGTGTTGAAGGCATCATCACAAGTGGGCGGGATCCACTAGTGAGGGTAGTTGGGACAAAGGTTAGCACTAGAACTGTGGACCTAGTTCCACTAGCAGGTCCCGCCCACATGCGAAGATCCTTTCAACAGCCGCACCTCTCTGCTGGCTCGAGTATATAAGCGTCCAACCTCCTGCATCTGCTTAACCCGTGATAACGACATCATCATTTCGCTAGTGTCCACAGTTAGGAGTGCATGTGTATGCATATCTCTGAATATACATATATACGTGTATAATGCGTCCAGCATACACATGTATATGATCCAATGTTCATATTACAGACGGCGTTGTCGCTTATGAGATGCATCAGATGAACTGTCCAGAACAGTGCTTGAACAGCACACGTTGGAATATTGCGTAACTCATTCTCCTTCGGGAGTCAGGGACGGGTTATCGTAAGATTAAGACCCGTGCCAGGACCCCGGTCTTGGCGAACATTATACATACATGCATCTGCTTAAGACTGATCCTGACTACCAAGCTGAAGACACCTATCAAGGGTGTCATATGGCATTAATGAGATCCTAGATCAGGGACCCTTCGCAAGGATAAAAAATATTAAAAAAAATCGAGTACCAACAATTCTAGGTCCACGTGTGTGTGTGTGTGTGTGTGTGTGTGTGTGTGTGTGTGTGTAATATATAAAATATATTTTTTTTCATGAGTGGACATGCTTCGAACCCAATCAATTATCCACTAATCTAACCGAAGAGCCGTGCTAACTACTCTTAAAAAATCTAAAACTTATTTCAGCCAATTTCAGTTTTAACAGGTACTCCTAACTGCGACAACAGGTGCAGGTTTGTTAATAGATTCTCTCACCAGTAACACTGTTTGGTCAGATCTAGTTCTTGGCCCTCTAAGTTGGCATGTCAGTGTGATGGACAAATGGTTACTCACCTGGAGGTGGGGTGGAGTTGTGTGTCTTGGCGGCGTCCATCAGCATAGTGTGACGCCACCACTGAGACGTGGTGGTGCTCACTGCGTCACCACCGAGACGTGGTGGTGCTCACTGCGGTCACCACCAAGACGTGGTGCTCACTGCGGTCACCACCGAGACGTGGTGGTGCTCACTGCAATCACTACCGGGACGTGGTGGTGCTCACTGCAATCACCACCGAGACGTGGCGGTGCTCAGCATATACTAACACTCATGCTGTGAAGGAAAAAAAAATAGCATTATCATTGTGCTGAGAGAGTTGCACACATCATTATCAGTATCCCGGAAGAAGTACCCTCAAGTGTTGCCAGAAATTTTCGTTTTTGTACCAAAGTTTGCCATTTACAACTTGAGAAAGCCTCACCAGATAGGCTTCAATTGTTCAAAAGGGCGATGTAATGTAACTAAGGAAAGATTCACGCAGTTATGTAACTCGAACAATTGTGTCCGACATTTTGGCAGTCAAGCATCGTTGTTATTCAATAATGATAAAACTATAAAGTCAAAGCTTATAAAGTGTTATGCTACACAGATGTCAGTATATAAACACATGTAGTGGGTCATTATTATTTAGTACAGCAGTAACTAAGCCTATATATATCTGGAACTACAGCCAGTTTGTCACTGACTATCCTTATTACTTGCTGTAAATAACCGGAGGAATGAATGTAGCAGGCTTATTTATGAAGCCAGACACGCCTGCATAAATTATTGACAAAGACCTCCATGCTCCTGGAGGCCTTATATATAATATATATATATATATATATATATATATATATATATATATATATATATATATATATATATATATATATATATATATATATATATATATATATAGTGCCGAATATGTAAAACTGGTCAATTAGCAAGAACTCGTTAAAATTAAGTCCTTTCTGAAATTTTCTCTTATACGTTTAAAGATATATTTTTTTCATCAATGTTAATGTAAAAAATTTATAATTTTGGACCAAAAGAATCTTAGAAAACCCTTACCTAACCTTATTATAACAAGTGTAATTTTTTAAAGCCAAACCCAAAAACAAAAAATTTTTTAAAAATACGTTTACAATAATTTATTTCTAAACAAAACAAATCAAATATTTTATTTTTCGTTGGGTTTTTCAAAAGGGTTTTGGCGAAATTATTGCATACCCCAAATTTTTCACTTGTCCTATATGGCAAAGAGCGTTGCTTTTAACCCAAAGATCGCAAGTTTCCCTTTTGGGCCCGAAAAAAAATTTTATATATATATATATTTTATATATATATATATATATATATATATATATAAATAATATATAAAATTATATATAATATATATATTTTATATATATGGTTTAAAAAGCCCGAAAGCAAACATTTAAAACATATTTATTAAAAAAACTTTTCGGCCCTGGGACCTTGATCCCTTCTAACATACAGAGGTAGTATAATTTTCCCCAAAAGACCATAGCCCCCGGGGCAGGGGTCCCAATCTTGCGATGCCCCCTCTCGGGCCCCGATGGAAAAAAGGTTTTTCCAAATGATGCGCCCATGCCGCTAAGGCCCCCCTTGGGTCAGTTAAACCCGGGTGCATTCAAAAGGGCGACCCCATTTTGTAATAGGACATGGGCGGGGAGGAGGAAATGCCCATTTTTAAAGGAAACAGCTTTCTGGTTCTTTGCCCCCATGGTCACTATTGTGGCCGCAGTCTTCTCGGGTCCTCTTTCGGGAGGGATTTTCCCCCCTATTGCCTAGAGTGTCTCAGTAGCTTCGCACTCTAAAAGGGGGGGGGGGGGGGGGGGGGGGGGGGGGGGGGGGGGGGGGGGGGAACCGCTGGAAAAACGTGCTGACAGTTTTGGCACATCCCCTTTAAACCCCTTGTCTACCATCTTTTTGGCTGTGGGAAAAGGCCCAAAAAACGAAGCCGAGGGAAATGGGGACACGGGCGTTTGGACCACCCTTCTACAAAAATGGGGGGGGTTCCCCCCCTGAGTCGTGCTCGGAAACCACTTTTGGGAAAATGGGGGTATCACCTAAAAAACCTTTCCCCCATAAGTTTCGTGGCTCTGGCAGCCACCGGGTTTGGTTGTGTAGGTTTGATTGGGACAGAAATTTCCCAAAACATGTGGATAGTCTTTTTGCGGGCCTTTGGGCCTGCTTTAATCTCCCGCCTCTTTCCCCGGTTTCCCAGCATGCGGGGGATCCAGTTCAATGCGATCTATTCCCTGAATTTCTAAGGCTGACATTATGTCAGGATCGATGTGATGAGGTGAACATTTTTTCCTTTGTGGTTGGGTGGGAGAGGGTTGTTTTGGCAGAGGTGGAATAAACCATGTTCGGGGTCGGAGTCAAATGTCGTGGGGGCCTGTAAACAATGCCTGCTGAATCGCCCCCCCAAGCTCAGCTTAAAGGGTCGTGCAGTGGCCAGGGGGGTCGCCAGCCTTGTGTTTGCCCATTGGGAACACCCCAGCTGCGGGCTTTTTTCCCCTGTCAGGGCCGACAAAAAACCACTGTGAAATCCCATGACTTTGCCCCCCCTCTCCCAGTGCCATGTTTGCTAAGCATGATTGCTGGGGGTGTCTTGACTGCAGAGACACTTAGAAAATGGGTAGCTGCATAAATGAAAAAAAGGGCCCTGGTTTCTGGGCGCCGGGAAGGTGGTGGAAGGTACCCAGCAACGGGAAAGGTCACCAACCTTTTTACAGAGCAACGAAACCAGGCACAGCTTCCGCCCAGCCCCCAAAACAAAAACAAATCTAGGAGTATTTCCGTGAAAGGGGGGATCTTGGGGAAAAGGGGTTGTTAATATCCGTCCCTTAGGGGGGTTACCTTGCTCCCCTTTGCAAACCCCGTGGCCACTTTGCAGGGGGTTTATGTACTTACTCTGTCACCCAAAGGGAAAGGGAAGCCGGGCCTCAGATCTGAGACATACTGTGTTGGCCCAGATGGGGGCCCCCAAGCATATTTCTTTCGCCTGGTTTTTTTGACCTCCACCCCTTTGCCTGCTCTGCGGGAAGAGTTTAGCTATATTTAATGAGACGGGTTTTGCTTTTTTATTTATTACAAGCAAAGGGTACTTTTTTTGGCTTCCCCTGCCGGGGGCCTCCCCATGGCTCTCATGGGCGTTGGGGTCTGATAGAGCAGGGAAAACCTGCCATATGGGCCCGTTTCTGAAAAGTTTGTTTTTTAATCAATGTAGTTTCCCCAAAAGTACGGGTTTAGGAGCCTGCCCACTAAAGTTTTTATACCCTGAATATTTAATTATTCATAGGATCTGGTCCCTTAAAACATCAATTGAAAAGGTTTTTCCTCGGCCGAGATCTTAGGCCTATTTCCCTTGCAAGATGCGTAATTGGGGCCCAAAGCTCTCTGACCCTGTGGGTTCAAAATTTGCCTTTTCCCCCTTTCCCTACTAGGAAAGATCTTCGGGAATAGGGGAGTGTGTACCACTATAAAAAGGGAAGGTCCAAGTTCCTGCTAAGGATGAAAACAGGGAAAGGACTTAGCACACCCCCTTTGTGGCGAAACCCGTTTTCCGGGGTTTTTTAAAGGGGAAGGAGAAAGTTTTCCCTGAAAGCTGACACGGGCCCTGCCTGCCCCAAAGGGTGGGGACTCTACCAGGCCAGGAGGCGTCCTTTGATTCCCTTCCGAGCTAGTATTGCCAGAATTGCTGGGGGGCCCTTGGCTAGCTCAAATCCCCTTCTCAAGGGGGCCCCCCCAAAGGTAAACGACGTTTCTGGGTTTTTTTTTTGTTTATCAGAAATTTGGGTTAGTAAAGTGGTTATCCCACTCTGCGGGTTTCCCACTCCTTTGGTGAACCCAAAATATGTGATGATGAGAGGTCCAAGTTTCCATAGGAGGGTTTAAACACCATCCTTCAGCACCCTTGGGCTAAGCGGGCTGGGTCACGTATGGGCCCTCAAACTCCTGGGTCCTTGGGCTTTGGAATTGGTACGATTGTAGCTTTTCCAACTGCTGGGAGGGGCCCTGGCCCTCCAGGGTTTTTTAAGGGCTAGTATGGCCTCCCTCCACTCTGCCCCCCCGTCCCAATCGGGGAGTATCACCCTTTCGATGCCCAGGGCATTTGTCACCTGGGGTTTTAATGGCACTTCGGGGGCCCAAAGCCCGTGAGGTCAAACATATCACATTTTCCCGACTCCCCTGCAGCTTGTATCGTTGGGCCGGGCGCTGTGGCAGAAGATCCGTCTGTAATTCAGGTTGTCCTGTGGGAGTGGTGGGGGCTCCCCGGGAAGTAAAAAGGGCCCATTTGTTTCTCTGTTCCGGGGATGGGTTGGGTGTGCTGGTGGCCTCGCCCTTGCTCTTGCCTTTGCTATTTTGAGCTTGCCCCTTATCTCAGATTAAAAAGGGGGGTGGATGGGCCCCAATGTTGAGCACCACTCCAGCCATTTCTCAGTTTTTACTCGAAGAGTTTTTGAGGGATTTTCTGACAAAATGGTCTCAGAGTTTTTCCCGTTCTCTGCCGTTGGGTTTTTCGCTTGTTTGCTTCCTAAAAGATTGTTTTTCGGGGGGTTTTGCTCCCGACCCCCCTCTTGTAGAACCCCAGTCTCTTTTTTGAGTGCGTTCCCGCGGACTTTTTTTTGGAATTTCGCACTTGCTGCCTGAAAAGAGAACAGTGATTTTGCTCCTGTTCAGCCGTATCACAGTTTCAGATTTGAGGGAAAGTGGACCACCAGTTATGAAGAAAAAACCCGGAAAACCCTTCCCCTTGGGCCCCCCTTTTAAAGCCCCCCTCTTTGGAGGCAGCACAACTGTGGGAGGGGTGTTGATGTTGAAGGTGGTGATCACTGCAAAGTGGGTCCTTTACAAAGGGGAGGAAAGAGTTTCCCATGTGGTCCTGTCGAGTTGTCTTGAAACCCAAGGTAAGGTCGGGCAGCCACCCCAAAAGGGGTGTGGGGTTTTCCATTGTTTAGCAAAATTTAAACCCCTGGAAATGTGTGGAGCATTTCTATTTGTCTGCCAAACAGCATTGGTTGCTGAGTGAGAGTGCAGAATTTGGGTGATGTGCGTTGGAAAACTCCACCCACAATAAACACTCAGTTTCGTGGGTAGTGCGGGGGCTCTGAATTCGAGGGTGTTTCTTGGGTTCTTGTAGAAAGTTTTAGTTTGGGAATGGGCCCCAGGTAAAGTGCACAAGGATGGCCTGTACCTCGACATTCCTCCCCCCAGTCCCCAGGGGGGGGGGGCTATAAAAACCCCGTGAGGTATTG